CCGGGGACAAACTGCAACCGAGGTACGTGCCCTTAGTGGGACTCTGGACGCTCTAACCACTGAGCCAAACCGGCCAGGGCTGCAGACCGTATTTCCAAATAAAGTCACATTTACAAGTACTCTGGAGGATTAGGCTTTCAACATCTTTTGGGGGAATGCAGTTCAATCTGTAACTGGCATGAAGGAAGGAAACAAGTCTATTCTCCTCTCTACCCCCTGCCATCTCCCTCAGACCATGACTGATGTGGTGGGTAACCCAGAGGAGGAGCGCCGAGCTGAGTTCTACTTCCAGCCTTGGGCTCAGGAGGCCGTGTGCCGATACTTCTACTCCAAGGTGGGTGCCTGGGCTGTGCAGGGGAAACTGACAAAAGGCAAGGGGTCAGTGGTATTAGCTACCAACTCCTGGTTTGTCTTATCTTCTACTCTTCCCACTGTTTTCTCCATAGGTGCAGCAGAGACGACAAGAATTAGAGCAAGCCCTGGGAATCCGGAATACATAGGGCCTCTCCCACAGCCCTGATTTGGCTGCACCGATTCTTTATTTGGGCCCTGTGCTGCCTGCCTCATAGCACCTGCCTTGGTCTTGCTTGGGACCTTCCAGGGGATGCTGTTGGTTCAAGGACAACACCAGAATGAAGAGGGTCTCACATTTCTGTCTTACAAGACACCTATTACCCTCTTTTCCCACCCCATCCCTTGTTACCCTCCCCCCCAGCTTTCCTTTGCCCCAAAAGTTCCCATGTGCCTCTACCCTCCCTTGGTCTACATAGGACCTCTAGATAGTATTAGAGAGAGAACCTGTAGTGGTAATCAGTGCATTGAATGGATTGGGCCTAAGGCCAGGTGGTCTTCAAGGGGACCAACTACACTGATCCTGCCCTTCAGAGACCGAGGAGTTGGGAGCCTCATTCCTTTCTCCAAGACTCAGGCCTGGGGGTACTCTATAAGCTAGTTGACCTTGGCTTTCCTGATAACAGAGTCCAGTTTCCTTCCTTCCCTCCACAGGTTTGGAGCAAATTCGCCCTTCACTTGTTGCCCTCTAGTACTAAAGGAACCCTGGCTCTTGGGCTGCACTGAGCCCCAGGTCAGTCTGCAGCCCTCTGGATTGGCCTGCTGTCTCAGTGCTTCTCTTACTCCCTCATAGGGGGTCCACGTCAGTATTGGAGTTTGGTCTTTAATGATTGCTCCTTCCCAGCATACTCCTTGTAGCTGCTCTTTTTAGGATTCCCTCCTGTGTGTCCTAACCCAGGGTATTTGGTTGGGGGAATCTTGCCTTTCCCTGTCAGAGCCTCAGGGATCTAACCTGAGGTACTGTCGTTGGTAGGAGGCTGTTCCTTCCTGCTGTTGCTTGGAGGTGTGCTTCATTCATTCACTCTACCCTGCCTCCCCCATCCTTTCTTGGAGAAACAGGCCTAAAATCAAACGGGTAAAAGCCCTGGGCCATCCCTGTCTTCCTGTCCCTTGTCTGCCCAGTTGGCACCCACTGGTGACTGCTAGGGCACTGAGGAGTGAAAGCGCCTAGGGCTGGAGAATAGCTCTGAGTTAGGTTTGTGACTCCCTCCTCTCCCTGCCTCACAGGATTGTAACTCCCCATCCCCTGCCCTCAAAGCTTCAGACCCCTCAGGTAGCAGCAGGACCTTGTGATCTTGGCCCCTTGGAACTGAGATGGTTTTGCATCTTTCCATGAGAGCCTCAGATTCTTCCAGGTTGTATCACCCCAAGTTAGCATATCCCAGGCTCGCAGACTCAACACAGCAGGGTGGGAGACAGTCGGGCACAGGGGAGGAATTCCTTTCAGCATGGGCTGTAAACCCACAGAACTGACAAAGCCCCTGCTTCCCCACCCCCTCCTCAGGCTCCTGCGAGCACATCCCCCAGCCCGGTATCCCTGCCTGTTCCACACTAGGGACAGAATTTTCTCCCCATCTTCCCCTTCCTGCTATTATCCCACCCTCCCTTGAAAGCTTCTCCCTGGTGACACTGGACAACCTCTGTTCTTGGGGCTGGAACCATGAGAAGGAAGCTCAGCACTCCTACACGGTGTCCCTGTTGAGATAACTTTTTATTACCTGAATTATGTTTTTTTCATGGACCAAAATTTTTTTTTGTACTGTCCCCTTATTGATGTCACCCAGTTTTAATAAAAGAATCTTCTGAAGGATGGGTCCCCTTACCTACTGAGGGAGAGCTCTTCCCTGAGCTGCTCTCTCCAGTGCCTTTAGCCATGCTTATGGTGTTTGTTCATTTCGTTTGACAACTATGAAGCACCTGCTATATACCGGAAGTGGTGCTAAGTGCTGAGGACATGGTGGAAGACAAGGTTTATACTCTGGACCTCAAGTCCTCTAAGAGCTGTCAGCCCCAGTAGTCCAAGCAGGCCAGAGGCTGGTGGGATTACTGGGTTTCATCACTGCCTCCAGCTCCCCTGTTGGGAAGGTACTAAGACTGGCACTGCTTTCTTCTCCCCTGTCCTTTTGAGCTCCCAAGGGCTCCAGTGTGCTGCCTCAAGTGTATTGTCCTGGGGTGCCTATGATCCCTTAGGCTTGGTGAGCCTGAGCTGCTAAGGGAGTTCCACCACTCAGGGATCCTATCTAGATCCGGGCCAGGGCCTGCAGTTACAACCGTTCTTGCTCTCTGCTTACCATTCTTTTAGGTTCATTTTCACAGCCCTGAGTGAGACTTTAGTTCTTCAGACCAGCATGAAAAGTGGTTGCTGTGTTGTCACCCTCATACCATAGACAACCAACCCCTCACTACCTGAGTTGGGTTTTGTTCAGAATTGCTATTCCCAGTAGAGCAGTTTCCATCAAGTGCCTACCTCCCATCTGGTGGCTCATTACTTGACCCTCCTTTGTGCCATTATCTAGCTTGGTTGTACCCAAGAAGGGTTTAGAACACAGGATGAGTGCAACCACACTCCACAGTTGTAGTTAAAATATTATCCTCTGCCTCCGTGGCTGGAAACACTCAATGATTGCTTGTCTGCAGTCAGACCTACCGAGGATAACACCACTTCCCAATCTGGAACTTGGGTGTTTATCAGACTTCAGTAGGGAAAGCAGAGAGAAGAGTATGTGGGTGATCATTTGGAGTGGAAAAAAATGGTGTCCAGGACATGGGGATGGCATCTGCTTTTACCCAGGCTAATTACATGTGCAATGAATAACTGATGAACCCTTATTAATTTCAAGCAATCTAGTTTGCTTTTGGGAAGAGAGCCTAGTAGTACAGATAACTTCCTATGACGAGCCAATTCTAGACTTGCACTGTTGATTCCTGTATAAAAACAAATTCTTTGTCTCCACACTACTTAAAATTATTGTAGGAGCACAATAAGAGATAGAAGCAGGGAAAACAGGATTACTTTATACATAAATATCCATTCTCTAGGGTTCTCATCATGTGTTAGGGACAGAAGCATTATCTTCCATCAGCCGTAATCAGTGCTCCCAGCTGGCAGCCTGGCACTGGTGCCTTTGTCTCAGTGCCAGTGCAATACTGGGGTGATTTGTGGGAGGCTGGCTCTGTAGTAGGCACAACTTTGTTCCTAAGGGAAACAACTACTGACTTCATATATGTTTTCTCCTATGGGAACTCTGGCCATGGAAGAAGAATATGGGGGGCTTTTCCTGGGCAGTCCCTAGAACTTAGAAAACCATTGCTCTTGACCTCATGCCCACTTACCCAGTAGCTGTACACAGACTCCCCTCTGGCCCAGTGCTTATCACTGTTGCCAGCCAACAGTAGCCCCTGGGATTGGAAACACCCACTTGGGAGTCTGCCAGGCCAGGAGGTCAGCATATGAGCACACAATGGTCTCTGCTCTCTCGGCCAAGGTGCACAGACAGCTGGAGTGTTAGGGCCCTTTGCCTCACTTCGGATCAGCCTAGAAACCAGAGAGCCCCTTCTTAAGTCAAACAGATGGCTGTGGGCAATGTAGGGCCCTGAACTGCTGGAAGAGCTGCTTCCACCTCCCACCCCCAATAACACACCCCACTTACTCTCAGTTACAGCATCTGAGACTACCAAGCTCCACAAAGGTAACAGCTACTCCTGATCCTGCATCCTTTCCCCTTTCTGGCTTCTGCAAACTAGCCACTAACCTAAGGGAGTTCTTACTGTGGTAGTTTAAAACCCCAAGACAGAACTGAAGGATGCTGAAAGCCTCCCAAGGACAGGGAACACTTTGGCCGCCTTCTTGTCTCTCTTGTCTTCTTCCTTAAGCCCAGAGACTGCAAAAGAAGACTTATAGGCATCAGAGCCTCTCACTTTGACCTTGACCTTTCCCACCTTCCCTTCCTGGAAAACATTCAGGTGAGGATACTTTGAGGTGAGAGGCCCACTGGTGAGTACCTGAGATGACTACAGTGGGTAACCGAGATGACCTTGTCTGTCAAGGCTCTTGGTGTCTCTTCTTATTCTTGGACTTAAGGCCTTTACCCCTTACGTGGTCTTAGCTTTAAAAGTGCGCCCACACCCACCCACCCCACTCAGCCACAGCCCTGCAGTACAGCTAGTGTAGGGCCAGTGACATGTGGTCTCCCTGTCACTGCTAGAGGACCAAACTGTAGAGCACTTTTTTGAGTCCTGGGAGGGCGATATGCAAGGCATATACCTTGGAAAGCATTCCTGTATCTGCTACTAAGGCTGCATACAATTTATTCTAGTGTTGGGAGACAGAAGGGAGTTGTGGGGATGCAGTCACTTGCTCCTTATCTGGGCTATTTCTTGGCAGACCTCAAAATGAGACTATTGCAGGGAGGTTGGGGGGACTGGGCTGGGGCCAAGAGGAGAAGCCTGCCAACACTGTCAGCTGGCAAACCTAAGAGGAAAGAAAGGTGGGGCCTGGTCTGTGCCCCATTCCTGTTCCCCACCTGTCTCTACTCTTTTTCTCCCCTTTCCCCGGCTCTGCCAGACTGTCTCCCTGGGTGCCCGCCTCCCTACCCACCCCTGGAGGGCGGAGCTTGGCTGCACCCACGTGTGGCGGAGTTATATGCTTCTAGAGGAGAGAGGAGCTGGGGAGAGTGGAACCAGCTGGCTCAGGCAGCAAAGCGGCACCATGGCCGGCAAGAAAGTCTGCATTTTAGGTTCCGGCAACTGGTAAGTGGTTCTGTCAAGGGTTATGGGGAGGAAGGGTGATCCCCCAAGGACACAGGGGCCTAGGTGGGCAGGAGGCAGAGAGTGGGTAGGAAATACCCTCTGGTGCCTCTTCCACCCCTGCTGTTGTCTTCTGTGCCTACCCGCAGGACAGATGGTGCCCAAACCTCTCCTGGCCCCTGCCTGTCCTGCACCTGCACCTGCTCCCAACAGGAAGGGAGCCTCCAGTGCTCCCTGCTTGAAAAGCTGCATGGGGGTGGGGGTGACAGGAAGGTAAATATCTGGTGGGCTGCTGTGATAACTTGAGGTGGAACACTGCCCCCTCCCCTGCCACCATTCCTCCATCACATCCCCACTCCTCCAATTTCTGTATTCCCCCTCCCACCAGGGGCTCAGCCATCGCCAAGATTGTGGGTAGCAATGCAGCCCAGCTGGCAGACTTTGACCCACGGGTGACCATGTGGGTGTTTGAGGAAGACATCGGGGGCAGAAAGCTGACAGAGATCATCAACACACAGCATGAAAATGTCAAATACCTGCCAGGGCACAAGCTTCCCACCAACGTGGTGAGCCCCAACACCCTATAAGGGAGAGGGAAGTGGAGGGTGCCTCCTGATGAGGGGAGGTATTTCAGGTGCCACCTGGAAGTGTTTCAGGAGGGCTGCTCCGGGCACTGGGCACTCATGCACAGCCCCCAAACTGCTTCCCTGGGCACTTTCTGGAACTGAGGAGAACCTGAATGTGCCACCCTCCACCCCTCATTTATGGGTTCTGAGGCTTTTAAGAGAAGACAAGGACGTTGGCTTTTGTGGCTTCCAGACCTGGGTTCAGGTAGTGCCTGCTTCAGGCTCTAATCCAGTTACTTATTCACTGGGTTATTAGCAGACTTGGACTCTGCTCCGTGGACTTAAGATCTTTAGTCAAATCCATGTGGCTCACTCCCCAGAGAAGACAGCAGGAAGACTGGTGCTCTCCCTTCCCAGTGAGGGACCCTAAGGACCAGGGGGATGAAATTACTTGGCCTCTTCCTCCTGCCAAGCTCAGGCATCCTTTGACCTCTAACTGTCCCACAGCCAAAAGCTAGAAGGGTGATGGGAGGAGGTTCCCAGGAGCCAAGAGCCCATGAAAGCTGGAGCATAGAGGGAATGATGGAAAGGGGAAAGGAATAGAGAGTCATTCCTCCAAGTTCAGCCCTTCCAGGTTCAATCCCCAAACTGGTCTCCCCCCCTTCCCCCAAGCCTCACTCTTTGGCTTTTAGATCTTCTGAACTGAATGGGGTTTCATAGGGGCTAGAAGACTGCTGGGCCCATGAACACTGGTCATTCCACAGGTGGCTGTCCCAGATGTGGTCCAGGCTGTGGTGGATGCTGACATCCTGATCTTCGTGGTGCCCCATCAGTTCATTGGCAAGATCTGTGATCAGCTCAAGGGCCACCTGAAGGCAAATGCCATCGGGATATCTCTTATTAAGGTGCCAGGACACCATATGGATGGGGGTTCAGATAACTGTGTGGGTAAAGTGGGGAGAAGAGAAAGTGGCAAAAGTAGGCCAAGAGTTTTTTGGAGAGAGGAAAGGAGTTGGCTTTGGGGAGGCTTGAGAAACAAATGCTGGGGGCTGTTGGGAAGGGGAGGTTGGTTGAGGAGTAGACAAGAGATTGGTTTGGAGGCAGATGTCTTAGGGAGTTTAGAAGGTGTACAAGGGATGCCTGGAGGGTATGAAAAGCAGGCTGGTTTGAGGAATGTGAAAGAAAAGTTGGTTTGGGGCAGTGGCTGGGATGGAAGCTGGTTTGGGGAACTTGGAAGTGGGTTGTGTGGGAATGTGGAGGAGACACAGTGCCTTGGAGAGATAGGCTGATCTGAGGGTATATGGAAGGAGTTTTCAGATGGATTCATTTTCATATGCCATCCACCCTCCTTATAACAAGCTTTGGCTCGGTTGGACTGATGCAGGGCCTTCGGGGAGGGGTGCTGATGAACAGCAGATTTAGAAAGGGCAGGATTTCTGGGAAGCCCTCAGTTGGGCATAAAGGGCATTTGGCTTGAGTTCCATTCTCTGCCCAGGGTATAGACGAGGGCCCCAACGGGCTGAAGCTCATTTCTGAAGTGATTCGGGAGCACCTTGGCATTCCCATGAGCGTGCTGATGGGGGCCAACATTGCCAATGAGGTGGCTGATGAGAAGTTTTGTGAGACAACCATTGGTGAGAGCCCCACCACAACCCACATACATAATGCAGCTCCAGTTACATCCCCTCCCTATACCTTCCCTCTCCCCACCCCACTTAGCCATCTTCTCCCCATAAGGTAGGCAAAGGAAGAAGACCAAAGCATAAGAGGTAAGGGAGGGTTGGGACACCCCCAGGGAAAGGGTTCAGGTTCTGCTTAGGGCAGCTGTGCAAAGAAGAGTCAAGAGTCCCCCCTTAAAACCTTCCCCCTTCCCACTTTAGGCTGCAAGGACCTGGCCCAGGGACAGCTTCTGAAAAGGCTGATGCAGACACCCAATTTCCGCATCACAGTGGTACAAGAGGTGGACACAGTAGAGATCTGTGGGGCCTTAAAGGTGAGAGGGGTGTAAAGGCATCTGGAGGGTAGGGAGAAGATCCTGAAAGAGGGCCTCCTGGCTTAACTATACAAGGTTACTGGTACTCCAGGCTCTCACTCATAGGCAGATCCTCCGTTCCCCACCAAATCCCATACACACAGGAATAACTGTTATTCGCAGAAGCAAAGCCAAGGTCATTTAGGCCTGCTGATTATTCACCATCAGATATTGGACCCCCTTCTTCCTTTCTCCCTGTGGCCTCTTGTGGGATATCCCTATCACTGGCTCCAGGGTGTGGTCCAGGGGGAAGAGGAGAAGCCCTGAAGGAGCACCTAGGCCAATGGGAGAAAAGATGTCCAGGATATCCAGACAGATGGATGGCCAGAACTCTGGATCCTGTGGATATCAGGGAATAGTCATGGATGGGAGGGCCAGCTGAATGGAAGACTGGTTTTCAGTAAATGTCCCCAATGATGGAGTATGGAGCAGAGTTGGGGAGCCAGGAAGCATAAGACTAGGCTAAAAGAAGGGAGTACAGCAAGTGGAAAGCCAAGAGGTAGAAATAGTCGAGGAGTCACCCACTATACTTCACTTACTCAATGGGCATATCATGGCTGACGGAAGCAGCATGAGGCAGGTGGTGAGGGCTCCAAGTGGGGCCTATAGGAGGGGATCCTTTCTCACCTGTGACCTCCATTCTCCAAAGAATGTAGTGGCCGTGGGGGCTGGCTTCTGTGATGGGCTGGGCTTTGGCGACAACACCAAGGCGGCGGTGATTCGACTGGGGCTCATGGAGATGATCACCTTCTCCAAGCTCTTCTGCAAGGGCCCTGTGTCCTCTGCCACCTTCTTGGAGAGCTGTGGTGTTGCTGACCTCATCACTACCTGCTATGGAGGACGGAACCGAAAGGTGGCCGAGGCCTTTGTCCACTCAGGAAAGGTGGGCCCCTGGGAGAAGGGAGAACGGAGGGTGGGCCCTATAGGTGTTAAGGTAGAGGAACCTGGCTTGAGGTGTCTCTTGAGCACAAACATTAAGCTTGTTGCAAACACTCATAGCCATCCACCTGACCTGTTTTCTTCACAGTCCATTGAGCAGCTGGAGAAAGAGATGCTGAATGGGCAGAAGCTGCAGGGGCCCCAGACAGCCCGGGAGCTACACAGCATCCTCCAACAAAAGGGCATGGTGGATAAGTAAGTGTCTGCCACAGCCCCACAGGTGGAGGGAACCACAGCCAGAAGTGCTCTCCCCATTCTTCATCTTTTCAAACCCTCCTCAATCTGTGAAATGGGCAGAGAGGGAAATGTTATATTATGCTAAAAGACACAAAGAGAAGAGCTTGGAGAGAGTCTGATAAGCCCACTGTCCCCCAACTAGGAGTCCATGGTCTTTTAACTCCTTCCAATCTAGTAATCCTTATACCACATTGCTTTGACCCCTCTGTATAGCCTTCCTCAATCCTGTCCTCATCCTCTGCTCTGGGGGCTGGAGCTCTGGGGCAGCAAGAATAAGCCTACCTGATTGTCCCGCATTTTTGTCCATCATCCCCAGTCTAAGCTACTTCCCTGAAGCCAACCTTCTGTCCTTAAATGTTGTCCTGGGTGCTGAGGTATGAGGACAGTCTCTACTTCAAGGTGTTGCTTTACGTGAAGCACAAAGAGGGGGGGGTGATGGCCTGAATCAGAGCAGAGCTCTATTAGCCTGAGAAAGAATCCTGGAATAAGAGAGTATGAAACAGGTTCAAAAGATCAGCTCATGCCCTGGCCGGTTTGGCTCAGCGGTTAGAGCATCAGCCTGCGGACCCATGATACCTGGGTTCGATTCTAGCCAAGGACACGTACCTCGTACCTCGGTTGTGGTTCGTCCCCGGCCCTGGTCAGGGTTGTGTGGGAGGCAACAAGTAGATGTGTCTCTCTTGCATCGATGTTTCTCTCTCTCTCTCTGTCTCTCCCCCCCCACTCCGAATCTGTCTAAAGATAAAATGGAAAAATATCCTCGGGTGAGGATTAAAAAAAAAAAGATCAGTTCATGGCTGGTCAGGGTAAAGCATCCTGGTAAAGTAGGTAGCCTGAGCAAGAGGAAGAGAAAGAAACTGGCATTTATTTATTATTTTTTAAAAAGGTTTTGTTCAGCCCCGGCCGGTTTGGCTCAGCGGTTAGAGCGTCAGCCTGCAGTCCAGAGAAGCCTGGGTTCGGTTCCCACTAAGGGCATGTACCTCGGTTGCAGTTTGCCCCCGGCCCTGGTTGGGTTGTGTGGGTGGCAGCCACTCGATGTGTCCCTTTCACGTCAATGTTTCTCTCTCTCTCTCTCTCTCTCTCTCTCTCTCTCTCTCTTCCTCTCTCTCCTTCCCACTCTGTCTGAATAAAAAGTGAAAAATAAATAAATAAAGGTTTTGTTCAGATAGAGTGGGAGGGAGAGAGAGGAAGAGAAACATCGATATGAAAGGGACACATCAAGTGGCTGCCACCTGCATGACCCAACCAGGGCCGGGGACAAACTGCAACCGAGATACGTGCCCTTAGTGGGAACTGAACCCGGGTCTCTCTGGACCGCAGGCCGACGCTCTAACCGCTGAGCCAAACCGGCCAGGGCAAGAAACTGGCATTTATTTAGCACCTTCATAGAATACATAATCACTTCACTACTCTGTTACATTGGCTCCATTTTATAGTTGATGATATGGAGGCTCCCAGAGGTCAAGTGGTTTGCCCACTTGGAACAAAACAATTCCAGGGAATGTTGCTGGCAAGTTCAATATGATAGGGAGCAAGGCAATTAACAACCTGACCCTAAAACCCAGAGCCAGGAAGTTCATATTCTCAGTGGTTGGAAGTTGAGAGCCAGAGTCTGCCTAAACTCAAAGGTGGGCGAGTATGGGGAGTGGAGGGTTAGGAGGGGATCAGGAGTGGAGGGCAGAGAACATACAAGAAGGCTATGCTGGGTCTCTCCTTCCCCATTCTAGGTTCCCTCTGTTCACAGCTGTGTACAGAGTATGCTACGAGAACCAGCCAGTGGGTGAATTCATCCACTGCCTGCAGAATCATCCAGAACATATGTGAGCAGGGCTGTGGCCCAGGCCAGGCAGCTTCTTTACCCCAGTGAAGATAAGCAGAAGCTTGTGTACCTGGCCACCAGGATCTCTGGGACTCCCCAAAGAGCAGCCTCTTCTCAGCTTTTCACCGAGGACAGGAGGCTCTGGGGCCCGGTGACCTGTCTGGAGACCCTGAACCACCAAGCCTCTTGAAATGGAGACCTCTCCAGATGTGGGGCTTTCTCTCTGTTCTCTGGGAAGCCTCAATGCTGCCTGCTTTGGGTGTGTGTGGTAGGGCAGAGGGTGGAGGGAGAGGGAGGTAAGGCAATGTCTGCCCACTGCTGCCTCACACAGAAGAGGAATCCTATTCCCAAACCCAGATAAGTGGCTAAAGAACTATCTTTCTCGAGAGGGATAAGGCAAGCAAGGGCTGTCAGGGAACCGACGTAGGGACTCCTTTGCTCTGCCTGACCTCTGCCAGGCCCCACACAGCATCAATGGATCTTAGTGTTAACAAAATACAAAGATTTCAACCCCTTTCTAGCTTCTCCTAGCAACATCTGTGTCCTCAGAAACCTCAGGTCATTTCCTTTCCCCTCCCCCAGGCTGCCCTGGCACCAGAGTTGCTGCCATGCTGGCATCTCTGGCCCTGGGGCTTGTCATTCTTCCGATGGACTTCCTAGTTCCTAGTTCTTTGCCAGCTCCTCCCCACTGTGAGTGAGTGACCTTTCCAAGCCTTCCCTCACCCTCACCACCAGCACCCTCTTTGGGAAGCAAGAACTTAATCTGCTGACAGAGCTATACCTTTTCATAACAGGCTCAGATCACTCTGCTCCCTGTGACCTTTGCTTTTGCCATGCCTCCCTTCTCTGGAGCTCTAGTGGCAGGGGAGGTTTCAGCTGAGTCCCTCTGCCTGTCTCCCCAAGACATCCTTGGCTCCACCCCTTTCCATCTTCCAAACCCTGTACCTATTTCTTAGCTGCCTCCAGAGCAGCCTGGGAAGCTAACCAGCTCCTATATCCAGAGGGCAAGTGGTCAGAGAGTGGCCTAAAGGCCTAAAGGATAGGGAAGGGTGACCATGTCCCCAGGTAGGTGAGTCCTGACATTCCAAGGCCAGCTCTCCTCTGTCATCTGCCTTCTCACAAGTTATATATCAGCACCTCAAGATGTAGGAAACTCAAGAAGAAAAGAATTAAAGCCACCCTACCCTCAAACGCAGCAATTTTCAGCCCTTTTCATGTCATGGCACACATAAACTAATTACTGAAATTCTGCAGCACACCAGAAAATATACAGGTATATACAACAAACAAATAGGTATAATTTTGATTCATTCACAATGGATAACTGCTATTGCTGTGTTGGCTGTTGTCATTTTTAAATTTGACAATCTAAGGGAAAAGAGGTCAGCCAGTGCCCCTGACTAAATTAGTCAGGTATTGCATGTTTTAAAGATTCTTGGGGCACACCAGTGTGCCTGCCTCAACACACAGTTGAAACAGCTGCCCTAGGGTAAGGAAAGAACAGGAAGGGGAGGAGGGAGAGGAGTGTGCTTTGCACTGGTCTTGCTCCAGGAAGGGGTGGCAGTGGGGAATGTCACAGGTCAGCAGCCTAGGCTCCTGGCTATAAATAGACCCTGAGGGCCTAAGATGCTCCTAGCATCCAGCAAAGGGTCTCAGCCTCCTGTGTGGCAGCACCTGGCACACTATGGCTCTGGCCAGCATTATGTTAACCCTTATTCCTGGCCTAACCAGGGAGGCAGGCTCCTCTCAGCTTCTAGCCTTTGAGAATTCACTCTCTTTCCAGTTAAGGGTAGAGCTGCCTGAATCAGGCAGTGGCATGAGGGGCACAGTCACTCCAGATCTGGCTGGGCCCAGTTAGGGGCACTGACTGAAGATAGGAGGTCAAAGTTGGGGCAGAAAGACAGCTCCCTTCCCTCTGTAGCAGCTGCGACCTTGTTAGTCAAACACTTTTGCCTACTGTTGTTCACTCCACAGTTAACTGAATCTAAGGCCTTCATATTAGGCCTATTTGTCAACCCAATAAAGTGTGGTTTTTCCAGAAATGAGTTGGGGAAGACAGCTTCAGTGCATGTGGCAGTTCGTATGTTGTGATGTATCAGTGCATGTATATGTTTTCATTCATACCGCAGGAAAAGGGGAAAAAAGAAAGCCCTCCTTGATAATCCTAGCTGCTCCCTGCCCCTAGCCGTGGTGCCCACACAGTTCTCCTCTAGGTGGCATTCCCCCCCCCCCCCCCCTTTCCCGGCGCTGCTTTGGGCTTTATCACGGCACCTGCAAGCGGAAAGGTCACACACGGGACAGAAACATCCCTCGTGCCCACTCAGTGGCCATGCAGACTTGCCGACGCCTCGGCGGTCCAGGCCTCACGGTGCAGGTCGGTTTCCTACCTGAGCTTGGCCGAAGCCCGGCCACGGGGCAGAGGGCAGCTCCAGGCTCTAGAGGGCTCGCGGTCCACCTACAGAGGTCTGACCCCGAATCTACCTAGATACCGGAGACGTCACCGCGCCGTAGGCTGGGGATTGGCTGGCTGACTGAGTTGGCGAGAAAGATCGTCTTTTCTATCGTGACTGAGTACCCTAAAAGTTCCGGTTTCAGAGTTTGAGTCACCAAAGACCCGCTCTCAAAGAGTGACTACAACCCCCAGAATTCAACGGGCCTCTCGGAAAGGGAGGCTCGTTTGAGGATGCGTGTAAGGGTGACTGGGTCGGAAACCGGAAGTTCAAGGACAACCACCAGCCGGGGTTGCGGACCGCTCGGGCTCCCGCCTCAGTGGGTGGAGTTGTGCTGTATCCGGTGCGCGGTGCTCTTTCGCCGTGGGAGACGAACCCTAGAGGGTAATTGGGGTGAGTGGGAGGGAGAAAGGGTGTGTTTCCTCACCAACAGCGCCTCAGCGTCTAGGGTTGTTTCTGGACCGGTGGTACCCTCTTGTGTCAGGCGCTGTGTCTGGCCGCGCACACGGTGGTGGCGAGACGCTGCTTGCGGAAGCCTCGTTTAGACGGGAGGGAACTGCGACACCCAGGTACGCCGTCTGCTGGGCGAGCTGAGAGCGCCCGTCTGGGCCGGCCTTTGCTCACCGCATCCTCCCGTGCCCCGTCTTCGCCCCTTGAAGTCACCGGTGTATCCTGCACCGCGGACCTAAGCTGCTTCCAGCCCAACAAGCTCCTTGCAGCTGTAGGTTCCTGTCAGACCTTGACTACATCCGGGCGTCTTGGTCCTTCCTCCACGCTCTGACTCTAGTAGCTCTGACCTTGGGGGTCAGGGTTCATGGGCCTGCTGGGGCCCTGGCTAAGAATTTGCTTTTTACCTAATGCCTCTTCCGGTTCAGTGCACCAAATTAACATTTACCCTAGATTTACCGGTGACCTAGTCACTATTCCCATCTGACCAGTCATCGTGGCACATAACTTTGCAGTAGTGGTTCCCAGGTTTCAATCTGGCCCAACACACCTGAAAGATACAGCATCATCCATCAGTGGCAGCGACTTGACATAGTAGTGACTTTCAACCAGGAAGATGGATGTGTTAAATGAAAAAGCTCTCCTCCCCTGAAATTTTTGAAATGTCCTACCTGCTTTCTTCCCCTAATTATTTTGCTTATTTAAACTGGCATTCCCTTGGTCTCCTTGGCCTGTCTCTCTGGCCTTATCCTCTGCTTTGGTGTAACTTATTACCTTCATCTGTATCTGTACCAAGATCTGTGCAGATTTGCATATCTACCTGCCTGATAGACATCATCACCTCAGTATTGAGTTGAGCATCTTAATTCTAAGATGTCCAAAACCCAGCTCATGATCTTACAGTACTGCCACCACCACTCTGGTACATACACGTTTCTTATTTCTTACTTCTCTTTAGTGTCCCAGTCGACAAAGCTTCCTAACTTGGAGATATGTTCAGCTTTGCCCTAATCCATTTGGTTAATAAATCTTGTTTGAAGAGTTTTTTAAATTTGAAAATAGGAGAAATCTTAGGTTGGATTAGATAAGAGAAAGAAGTGAGATTCTAATTTTTTTTTTTTAATCCTCACCTGAGGATATTTTTCCATTGATTTTCAGATAGAGTGGGGGGCGGGGGTAGACATCAATGTGAAGAAAAACACATTGATGTGAGAGACATTGATTTGTTGCCTCCCACATGACCCCGATCAGGGCTGGGGACTGAACCATGGAAGTGATGTTCTAAACACAAAAATTATGTCTATTAGTCAGTCTTCTGTCACACTTCTAGCCAAGCTGTACCATCCTGTTTCTTGGCTAGTGAATGCTTCCAGCCTTCTTCCTTCAGCTCCCTGAAGAGGTGGCTCTATAACTGGTTAGCATCTGGCCAGGGTAATGGGGAATATGAGGGGAAAGAAGTAGTGAGGGTGAGGGTGTTGAAGGTCTGCAAGTCTATTTACAGGGAGCTTGTTTACTGCCTCACTGTCCTGCTGTGTGTGTTTTCTTCTTCACTGTCTCAGAGCTTGGGGTCCTTTCAAAGCTCAGATAACCTCATCTTGAGCCTGTGCCATTTGGTTTTATTCCTCTGACCTTATTGAAAGTCACTTGGAATTATAATTCAAGGAAGCTATGCCTCAGCTCAGCTTGAGGTCCATTTTCAAGTACTGGCTCTAAGGAAATGTTTAGCCCATAGGACTCACTCAGAGAAGCCCTTATAGCTCATCCTTTGCCTAATACCCTAAGCCAGCTAATCCTGAGCTTTTCTTCTTCCAGATTGTTGACTTTTAAGAAAACGTATTCTTACTAATTGCAGTCAGTCTTTTAATTTCAATTCCCCCAACAGAGAGGAGTTTAAGAACACATTCATAGCCCCAAATTGAGGAACATTTTGTTCAGGATGAGAGATTGCCATATTCAACTTTCTCTTGTTCTCTAGCTTAGAATATCCAGGGAACAATTAAATTAGAAGTACTGTAATTTATCTCATGAAAATGTGAGTTAACAATTTGCTGAGGACTCAGTAAGTTTCTTTTTAGCCCTTGGGATAGGTACTTGGTGTTATGTTTGGAATTTAGAATTAATGCTGTAGAAGGTTAAGTACAATTGAAATAATATGAATGTACTGTTGGTACTATTTTAGGAGTATTATGGCTTAAACAGATGCTTGAGGGCTGACCTGGGAACCTAACCACTGTGAATAAGACTGTTTTTATGGAAAATAAATCGTATACAGTCGTCCCACGCCACTTCCTGCTTTGACTTTCGTAGCTTCACTCTATCACAGTTTTTTCAAATATATTCGTTAAAAAGTTGATCGAGACAGTGAAAGTGATACAGCACTCACTCAGTTGTCTGAGTCAATTGTACACCCCTGTATTACAATTAAAATTACTGTACGTATGGACTGTAGGCCTATGTATTCGAGCATCCCAGGAATCCTTCAACACCAGGTGCAATTGCTCGAGTCTGGAACAGATTAATGATAAACAAGGAACGACTGTATTGCCAAGAAGGTTCCCATTTGATTGCCTACAGAGAATAATTTACTGCTAATGTTTAACCCTGGCTGCCTCCATTAATTGCCTGCTAGCCAGAAAAACTGATGCATGTTTAAAGTAATGTACCAATTAACATTTCTGGGTGGTCCGTACCAGTCATTTCTTTCCAAAAACATGGAGGGTCAGGTGTTCACTGTGATGTCATTCAGATTCACCTGGTTCCAGCTGTGTGTCTATTTCATGCAGATTTTATTTGCCCTTCGAATCTTAGAATTCCCAAACATTGTCTTCCACTATAAAACTCTGCATACATGTGGGGGCTATTCTGAACAAACAATGCAAGGATGCAGAAATTATGGAATGGCTTTAAACAGGGAAGCAGGCTGGGCACTTGAGGCCTATCCTGATGTTTAAATCCACATCTTTGTAGGGGACAACATGCCAACTGCCAAGCAACTAGCTGACATTGGCTACAAGACTTTCTCCACCTCCATGATGCTCCTCACCGTGTATGGGGGCTACCTCTGCAGTGTCCGAGCCTACCACTATTTCCAGCGGCGCAGCTCCCGGCGCCAGGCTGCAGAAGAACAGAAGACCTCAGGAGTCCTGTAGAACTGGAGTGCTTTTCTCCTTGACCAGAGAAGCCTGCGGCATGCTATGGAGAGAGCTCACCTGCAATCATATCCAAGTCAAGAGAACTTGGGCCTTAATGGTTTTCCATTAAAACCATTAATGCCGGGGATAAGTGCCCATGTTTTCTATGGAACTGCCATTTTGGGGAGGCTATCAAATCATAACAGGAATTGGGGGAGGGGAGGCATACCTACAAGACATTAAATATTTCGCCATGTCTGTCTGTGTCTTGGTATTTTTGTTTACTTAAATAGGGTATGGACCATAGGGGTGAGGCCTTAACTACCAGTTTTCTAGTCACAGACTACATTTCTGTATCTTGAACTCTTAATACCCATGAAGTGGGGGATATATAGTTTTAGGAGTAGTAATATCAACTTTCATGACCTCAGAGAAAAGACTGTCCCAGCAGCTGTATAATCCCCTGAAAAGACTCAAGTCCAGAGATTTTTTTGGTCAGTGACCACTCCTGGACTAATTACTGTGTCCAGGTAATGGGGTCCTTGGGCCAGCAGTCAAAGGAGGTAGAGGCCCTTGTTTAACAGCCCTCTCAAAATTGCACCAAGTAGAGAAGGCACATTTCCCAAAAAGGGTTGTTGGGCAGCCTATACTAATGCAGTTCACCTCCTTAAGCTCATTGGGTGTAGTGTTAGCATAAGGGTCGATTTCTTACTGTGCCATTGGATGGGAAATCTACCTGCAGATCTTATTACAGAGTTGTGAAGAGGATTTGAAAGAAAACTGTATTCAAGATAAAACCCAACTATGAAGAGAGGTATTGTTGCCATCATTTCATTTTGAGCTTTGAAGCTTGCTAGTGTATGTCCTTGGTGATCACCCCAAATATCAACCTCCTTAGACACCTGCCTTCTCTCATGTTCTATGTGCATACTGCTCTGACCTTTGTCCTACTACTCCTAAACCTTTCACCTGAAAGCCCTCTTCCATGATTAACAAAACCCAGCGTTAGCCCTGGCCAGGTAGTTAAACTGGTTAGAGCACTGTCCCATACACCAGATTGCGGTTCAATCCGTGGTCAGGGCACATACAAGAATCAACCAGTGAAGGCATAAATAAGTGGAATGACAGGTCAGTGTTTCTCTCCTTTCCTCTCTCTTTCTAAAATCAAATAAAAATAAAACAACAAATAAACCCAGCTTTCCCATATCCTCAACCCTTTTACTTCCATCCTCTCTTAGTGTGCTAACCAAGGAATCTACTGTCTCCTCTGCTTTCTCACCTATACAGTTAGGATCACCATTCTCCCATTCTCATTTCCACTGTATTCTAGAACATGGAGACTTTAAATTGTTTGATTTAGTCTATTCCAATTGGTCAGTCCCTATTGGCTTAAACTGCTTCCCTATTCAGCCTATGCCCATAGTGATCACCCTGAACTCCCTTGCAGTTTCAGCCTCCATCTTTGTCCTTTTTAACCCTAGTCCTTATCTCAGTATATAAACTTGTTTAAGGCCCTCCACCCCCTATAAAAAAAAACAAAAAAACTGCTCAAGATTATTTAAGAAGTCTCACATGATAGCACTTCCAGGGAATTGTAGTTTCCTTCCACCTCCACCACCACTGAAGTTCCTGGTTGATACCCGGGCCTCCATTGTGCCACACTTGCTGATTTCGATCTTACGTTTCCTGAGGCACTGAAGCTCTACTTTGGCTGCAGGGAGGGACCTATCTTGTTTCCTTCTACCACTTTGATTTCCTCTGCCCACTTGAAACATTAATGTGTTGCTAAGTTTTGTTCTTGGCCTATTGCTCTTATTCTGTATGTTCTCAATTAATCTAGGTAATTAATGGTTCCAACATTACAGAATGTAGTTCAGTGCCCAGTATTGGTATCCTGGCTCCATCATTATAGCTATGTTGCAATAGGCCCGTTATTATTATTATTATTTTTTCACTTTTTTTTTTTATCCTCACCCAAGGACGTTTTTTGATATTTTGTTCAGATAGAGTGGGAGGGAGAGAGAGTGAGAGAGAAACATCGACGTGAAAGGTACACATCAAGTGGCTGCCACCCGCACGACCCAACCAGGGCTGGGGATAAACTGCAACCAAGGTACGTGCCCTTAGTGGGAACCGAACCTGGGTCTCTCTGGACCGCAGGCTGATGCTCTAACCACTAAGCCAAACTGGCCAGGGCTATTATTTTTTTTAAGTAGCCGGAATTTTATTTTTTAACTGATTTTTAGAGAGGAAGGGAGAGGGAGAGAGACAAACATCGATGGGAGAGAACATCAATTGGCCTCCTCCTGCATGCCCCCCACGGGGGATTGGGTTCACAATCTGGGCATGTGCCCTGACCGGGAGTCAAACCAGTGACCTCTTGGTGTATGGGCTGATGCTCAACCACTAAGCCACACCGATGGGCATAATAGGCCAGTTATTAACTCTTAACCCCTCAGTTTACCTTTGTCAAATGGGGATACAAAAAGTCCTAATTTAAAAGGTTAGTTTGAATATTAAATAAGATAATTCATATTAAGTATTTAATATTGTCTGGTAAATGATAAGCACTCAGTGGCAGCTATTAATGCCTGTTGCTGACCTCCAAGTCTGATCTTACAGATTGACTTTGGGTTTCAGTATATCCAGTTGCTTGATATATCCACTTGAATATCCTAGTCTTCTCTAACTTGACATGTCCACACTGACAGCATTCCTTCTCATCTCCAGGATCTACTTGTGTTTTAGTTGATGACACTATCCCCCAAGTCAGAAATGTGGGAGATTTATTAGACCCTGTCCCCTACTCTCAACCAAGTAATTGTCTTATTTTTACCACTTAAACATCCACTTAATCAACTGTACCCTTATAATTTCTTGCTTATACTTTTTCTAGAGAGAGAGGAAAGAAGAAACATTGATTTACTGTTCCACTTATTTATGCATTCATTGGTTGATTCTTGTATGTGCCACAGCCTGGGTACATTGTGCATGATGCCTATACTTTCATAGAAGGCTTTTAGTGATTTTGGTTCTAGTCTTGACCTCATCAGATTGATTTGCCACATTTCCACCACAGACATCTATTTGAAACAAATTTATTTATGGAATTCCTCTGCTTTAGATCACCTCTGAAACTCAACCATAGACAATAGGTTAAAGAATGCCTAACCTATAGGGCCAATTCCAGACTCCTTAGTATTGCATATGAGGTCCTTAAGACCAGATCTACCTTATGTTCCTACTTCATCCTTTGTTCTAGTAATATCAAACTGCTTGACTGGTTACATGTTGTTTCTTGTTTTCATGCCTGTTTGTGCTTTCTCTGATTAAAGCATCCTCTCTACCCAATTCTATCCTTTTTCCAAAAAGGTTTCAGTGACCCTTCACTTTCCCATATCAGGCCGAGTGTCTGCAGAGGATACTTTTCATGTATTTAAAAAAACTTTTTTAAATTACAAAATTTATTGATTGATTTTAGAGAAGACAGAGAGAAAGAGAGAGAGAGAGTAAAGCATCAATTTGTTCTTCTACTTATTTATGCATTAATTGGTTGATTCTTGTGTGTCCTGGCTGGGGATTGAACCTGCAACCCTGGTGTATTGGGATGACAGTCTAACCAAATGAGCTACTGCCCCAGGTTAAAAAATATCTTTAAAAACACAAGTAGCTAAGACAATTTTGAAAAGGAACAAAGAAGATGGGTTGGCCCTACCAGATATTCAAGGCATAGTAGAAAGCTAATAGTAATCTAAATGTTAGGGTATTAGTGCAGGAGTAGACAAAGAGACCAGTGGCATAGAATAATAAACTCAAACAGATCAATGTATATGTTAGAAATTGCATATGATAAGAGGATATATCATAAATCCATGGTAAAAATCATTAGAGTGTAGTTATTCATACTCTGTTATAGATACATGTGTGATTGTGAAAGTATAAAAAGTATATAATAAAAAATGGATTGGCCCTGGCCGGTTTAGCTCAGCGGTTAGAGCATTGGCCTGCGGTCCAGAGAGACCTGGGTTCGGTTCCCGCTAAGGGCACGTACCTCAGTTGCAGTTTGTCCCCGGCCCTGGATGGGTTGTGCGGATGGCAGCCACTCGATGTGTCCCTTTCACATCGATGTTTCTCTCTCTTTCCCTCCTACTCTATCTGAACAAAAAATGGACAAATACCCTCAGGTGAGGATAAAAAAAAAATGGATTGAAGGAACACCAAACTTATAATAGTAGTTGAGTTTTTCCACACCAAACAATTCTACACCTCTGGATACCAAATGAGTAACCTATAATTTAATTCTGCCACTAACTACCCCAGATTGGTGCAGACTCCACAAGTTAAGGGCTCAGTCCCACATGCCTGCCCTCCACCTTAATGGGTCCCCAGGTTACCCACACTTCTGCTCGACTTGGCTACAAATTGGTGCCCACAACCACCTCCTTAGGTTTTATAATTTGCAATGGCTCACAAAACTGAACTCAGAGAAATACTTCATTTACTATTACTGGCTTATTATAAACGATACCACTCAGGAACAGCCAAATGGAAGAGATGCATAGGGCAAGGTATAGGGTACATCACCCTATCAGCACCTCAATGTATTCAATCAGAAGCTTTCCGAACCCCATTGTTTTGGGGTTTTATGGAGGTTCCTTCACATAAGCATGATCAATTAAATCACTGGTCATTGGTGATTAACACAATCCCTAGCCCCTCTCCCCATCCCTGGAGGTTAGGTGGGGCTAAAAATCCCAGCCCTCAAATCTTGCCTTGGTCTGGTTCCTCTGACAACCAGCTCCCATCCTGAAACTACCTAGGGGCCCACCAAGAATCACCTCATTAGCATACAAAAAAACAATTACCACTCTGGAGAGACCAAGGATCTTAGAAGCTCTTTGCCAAAAACCTAGGATGATGACCAAATACATATATGCAGATTCTGAGTAAAGCAAGTTATTTTCTGTAATGTGAATGGGCTTCATCCAATGAGTGAAGGGCCTTAAGAGCGAAGATTGATGAGAGTTCCCAACAAAGGAATACTGCATCAAAACTGTAACAAAGAAACCCTGCCTGAATCTCCACACTGTGGATCTTGGACAGCAACATTATCTCTTACCTGAATATCCAGGCTGCCACCTGCTCTACAAATTTCAGACTTGCTAATACCTACAATTGTATGAGCCTATTCCTTAAATCAATCTCATTCTTGCTCTCTCTCTAACCCAGTGGTTCTCAACCTGTGGGTCGCGACCCATTGGGGGTCAAATGACCC